CAGTTTGAGCTCAGGATCACGATGGTGCTATTTATATTGGCGTACGATGACAAATACGTGCTGAAAAATTGATTTGAAAAAATTAATAATTGTGATTTTTTGCAATAATGCGTATAACTTGGCCATTTTTGAAGCTATTTAGCTACAACTTGCTAGAGTTGTTCATGATCAGGCGTTCTATCACATATATTCCGTTTTTTTTTCGAAAAGTCAAAAACTTTTTGAAAAAAATGTAAAAATATAAATTTTGAATTTAATTATATTAAATTTTCGAAATTTTCAAAATTGCGAAAATCTGAGATAGCAGTTTGATAGCGCAGTCTATTCTGAGTCCCCTCATGCAAAGAAATTGGATCTAGCTTAAAAACTGAGCTCTTGGGAGCGATTGCCGTGGTTCAATGTTTCGCTTCGAAATCGGCCGAACATGACGTCACTCTGACGTCATTTCCGGCAGACCTATGGTAGCTACGAAGTTCATATTTTATCACAAGGTGTCAAATTGATGCAGCCGAAGGTACTGAAAGTTTGGCGTCGATACGTCAAGCCGTTTGGAAGTTATTGCAGAAAAACGGGAGGGGGGCTATAAATGCTATAAATAGCCCCCCCCCCCCCCCCAGTGGGGCGCGGGTTAACAATCTCTTTCTAATAAAATAACCATATATTTATATCGAACATAACTATTAAAAGATATCCCATCCTCATCAATCACTAAGATAATTTCCACTTCCCTCAAGTCTCATTTATAAACAATTCTCATTTGTATTACGTGCGCCAGATATGTCTACGCAGAACCTCCTCCAAAAATCCAACTTTCGTTTGGGATGAGGGAAGAGGCAAATAGTGGTGGTGAGATGTGGAATCAAGATGAGCTTGGATGAGCTTGGAGGAGCGACGGGAACGATTTTTTGAAACGGGAGGAGGTTAGAGGAGCTTGGAGGAGGTTGGAGGAGCGACGGGAACAGACCCTATGATTTGTGAATTGTTTCTTTGCGACCTGTTTGCAGACAGGAAGTGATACTATGAAGAATTGCCCGCGCTGTTACATATCCCATGTTCTCGTAGATACCTAAATGTGTGTCTTTTCATTACCCTTGAAAAAGTTATAATAAACGAAACGTCGGGTAATTTTTGTTGTAATATCTTGCATATTTATGAAATAGTATGCTCATTTTTGAAGGCACAATTTCTATGTATTTACATTTACCGAGTACAATTCGAAATCGATCATTTTTACGGCAAGAAATTCTTAGCCAGACGCTGAAGTTGCCAAAACACACGTGAGAGCTTCGATAATGCACTTGGAGCCAAACACCTTTTGAAAAAAAGAACTATAACGCCATTTTTCATTATGATTTTGGCCAAATCGAATGGCGAACATTCACTTAACAGTAGCAAGCCTTCTATGAGGTGCATTGTTTTGGCAAGTGATCTATAAGTATGCTTCAAAAATACCACTGGAACTTGGTATGCCTCATACTGCACTACCAAAGGAACTGAAGACTCGAATCTGAGCCACTTTGAAACAAGATTATGGGCTGAAGTGTGAAAAAGGCTGTGTTAGGTATGCCTTTCAACAGAAGAAGACATGCCAGTACCTATTGGTCTTTTAGCACAAATATTGATTTCTAGTGAATATTAATAATGTGTAAAATCATAAAATGTTGAAGTTCACTTGGTACGAGAACAATCAGCAGATCACCAAAGCAAGGGACCTGGTTGACCGGTCTTGTTAAGTCCATTTTTTACATTTCTCTCATCCAATAAGTACCTAGTTAATTGAGTAGAGTATTGTCTACTATTATAATTTGTGGTTAATACCTAAACATAGAACATTGTGATTTGTGAGCAACTGTCAGTGTTGCCACAAGGCGCAAATGAGCGAGCACAAATGCTACAGTGACACGAATCATGATGAATGTATTTCCAAGGTGGCATGTACAATAAATGTTACAAGGGTGGAGTATGTTTTTTGATGAAATGGAAATCATTAAGAGATACAAAACATCATATGATTCAGAAGAATATTGGTGAGCTGATGATATTTCATGTTCATACTTTAATAGCACCCATAAAAATCATTTTCATTTTGTTAAGCAGTGCTCTTGAGATAATGGGTGACCTGGACAGGTCAAGTAATTGAGTTGAAGAACTATGCTGAAATATGAATACAACACTAAACAAAGAAAGAACCATCACCTTATTCGTCCAAACACAAATCTATTTTTGAATGCATATTGCACACTCAGGAAACCTTAACCCGCGCACCGACGGGGGTCTGCGCCAACTTCGTACCGACGGGGGGGGGGGCGGATGACCGCCCCCCCCTGAGATCTCGAGAACGAAGCAAGATAGCGACAAGCGGTAAACGGCATCGGATACGCACGGATAAGGTCTACAATTTTTACAAAGGTCATTTTCAGGTCAGGTCAACGATGACGTCACAGGGGTCAAAAAAGTCAAAATGGCGGCGCTAGATATGGGGAGAGTTTTTCTCGAATAATTTTCGAACTAGTCAAGATAGGAACAAACTAAGGGCACCATCGTGATCCTCTTGTCAATCCGCATCGAATGATATATATGTTGACCTCGAAAGGTCAAGGTCAAAGGTTGACCTCAGGTCACGTGACCTCGAGGTCATCATATATATCATTCGATGCGTCTTGACGAGCTGAACACAATGAGACCATCCGCGCGGCTGTATCTTGTTCCTGTACGGAGTTATTGGCAAAAAACCGCTGGTGACCTTTGATGACGTCACATGACCTTACAGCTGCCCAACAGCAAAACAGACCTCAAGGTAGTGAAGGTTGATCGTATATGAAGTCATGTATGGTATATGGGGCCATTCCGACCCGTTTTAGTGGTAAAAACAGGGAGTTGATTTTTCCCCCATTGACTTATAATGGGGAGGTCGCGAAATTGACCTGACCTTAGGTCACCGATATCAAAATTCCGAGATGTACAAATTGTAGCTACTAATGACCTCATAACATCCTGCGACTTTCAAAGGCCTCCGACATCTACTGTAGCTCTGGCATGGTGACAAAGTTGCAAAAAAGTGACTTGAGGTTGGGTCATTCAAAGTGACCTGGTGACCTGACCTAAAAAGTTAGGAGGTTCAAACTTGCACACCATGTGTAAAATTGATTAGAGAATAGTCGTACCAAATTTCGCGGCGCTACGCACCGCGGTTTTCCCGCTATTCGCGAAAAACCTCAGGGGGGGGGGCGGATATCCGCCCCCCCCCGTCGGTGCGCGTGTTAAGGTAAGGTTGAAGCTGCACTGCAGGTTTATTAGCTTCGCTAGACTGTGCCCACTGCCCACAGTTCCTTGCATAAAAAGACCAGTGAGTGATGGAGTTCTAAATCATTGAATTCATATAGAAACATGGTCCGGCACATTTTGCACAGCTATTTCAATTTCATATAATCCAGCAAAAGATATATTGAACGTCATATGGAAACCATGAATAATGAATGTGTACTGGAGCAGCCAATCTGCAAAATATGGTAACTTTGACGAGATCTTGTTGGTGCGGGCTTATTCAGCTGGTGCAGATTTGGTATGGTGCTGAGCGGATTTGGCTAATGGCTTGGTGCAGTGTGGATTTAGTGTGGTGGGTAGGTTAAGGTGGTAGGTTTTAGGTTTAAGATTGTAGGTTGTAGGTAAGGTTAGGCCAGGTTTGGTTAGGTTTGGTTTGGTTTGATTTGATTAGCAAGCATCTCTGGGTAAAGCGCCTCTCCTTCGTTGCAAAAACAAGTGTGACACTTGCTTAACGACTACCACATTTTTTCTAATGCATGATTTTATTAGATTTTACAATTCAAAACATGTCAAAAATTGTAAAGAGGCAAATGGTGTACATTACTCAGACCATCACTTCAGTTGGGGAAACTATGAGGCGAATGTCAAAAAATTGATTGGTCAATAAATGGACTTTTGATGACCATATATGGGCATAAATGCAGCCCCCGCTACTAAGGGTGAAAAACGGTATAACAAGCCGGTACTTGCGGTATCGCGTCCAGTTATTGGACAGAAAAGGCTTCCATTTTTCACTAGGAATTAGCGTGATTTGATTAAATTCGGCGAATTGACTCGAAAATGGCGATAGGAAAACAGCTTTTCTGCAGGTTCTGGGCGTCACAATCAGCTGGCCATTCAATAAATGGATTGGTTTTATGAAAGAAAATTATTAAAAGATTTAATTTAACTACAATTAACAAAAATATTTAATTCTAAAATAATAACTTAACCACAATTAGAAAAACCATAAACAAAATAATAAAAATAATGACATTTTTAAACCACGGTACTGCTTACATTTTTTGGCGCGTCTGTTTCAATCCGCCATATTTGCCAATCACAGTTTGACCTTGCGTTGTAACTCTGCGATTTAGAGCCGCCAGTTAATTATGCACCGGGTGAGTGTAGGTCTTGTGTGGTTAAAAAAACATTCTTATGCCTTATTTTTTCATTTGAATGCTAAAATTCATTGAAAAGATGAAGTTGTCTGATTTTATGACCATATATGGTCATCGCCCCGCCCACTCCAGCCGCTGATTGGCTAATCCAATTTTTGTTTGGCTCCTCGTAGTTTCCCCAACTGACTTTGTCAATATAGCCAATGCAGCATTGTTATGGGGCTAATTGCATATCTGATGGCCATGCTCAACCCAAAATTTAAAAACATTTGTAGCTGAATAAAAATGTCATCACTCATCAGCATTTCAATTTCATTGTGCGATACAAACCAACCTCTGATGAACAGACACTATAAAGGAAAATAATGACAAAAAACCTGAGGATATTATAGGGATCTGATAAATAAAGCTAGAGTCGTCTGAATCCTCAATACTGCCGATCTAAAATCGCAAATTTGCCCATTAATACTACCTTTTATAAGGCAAAATGCGAGAATGTGCCAGGTATTTACCTTATTATAGCATAACAATACCCTATATACGGGACGATATAATACGGCCTTGAACAATACTTACTTGTACTTGTTGGGTTAGGGCGCATAGCCTCGTTGGGCCCAAGCGTCCGTAGTTGTTGTCATCAGTGCGCCATTCTTGTCTCGATCGAGTAGTTGCAGTCGGTTGCGGCCAGATTGTTCAGAGGGAAACTAAGCAGATGAAGGAAAATGATAGGTTTAGCATGGGCGGATATACGCGGGCTTTGGATATTGTCCAGGCAGGAAATCCAGTGGAGTATAATTAGTAATAGTTAGTATCTAACATACAACTGATTATGAACTTAAAATAAGAAATAAAAAATAGTTTCTGCAGGTTCTTGAGTCATTCAATCAATGACGTTCTTGACATCGCATCTGTCCAGTGTCCAGTGAGCTATTCCAGTACAAAAAGATCTTCCGGCAACGTCTGCTCTTGGCATGTACCTCACTCAGTAATCAACTTGTGTTGGAGGGTTCATGATCGTACCGAACCACTACTTCGGAACTATGCGACTATACTTCTACACAAAAGGAACCGGATTGAACGAAAGATTAAAGAAGGTATACATCCAAGAGAAATCTAGAAAAAAAACTACAGTAGCAAACCAGTACAGGCTGCTCTTCATTCATCCACTGACTGCATCCATCTCTCGCTCCGATACTTCTCCATTCTCCACTCACGCATCCTTCTCATTCAACATTCAATATCCATTCAATCATCCCCACACAATGCACGACTGTTACACACATGAAGACGTCCATAAGAGCAGCCACAACACATAACACAAAACACCAAAGACGATAAAGTGAACAATCAACGCAAATAACAATAGTAGGAGATCACGTCAATGTGCCAGATCGGCGGCACCGCCCGATCCGCATCAGTCGCGACGGGGGCTCGCCAATCGGCAGCCAAACTCAACATAATCCAATAATTACACATATGATAACTTCAAACACAAATAATCACAGCCAGTTCAGCGCATATCAATGCAGTCACAGCTTTTTGAAGAGGTCGACAGCTCGTATGAACCTGAAAACCTCGTCAGTGATGTCCGGGTGATGGTCACCCAGAAGAGTTTTCAGGGTAAGTGGAACATCCAATAGAAGACACTTCTGTACAATCGGTTGTCGGTGAATGTTATACATCGGGCACTCCACAAGTATATGTTTGACTGATTGGGGACACATACATCGGTTACATTCAGGTCTGGGCTCTCTATCTATTATATGTCCGTGCGTAAATCGTGTATGCCCTATTCGCATGCGACATAACAAGATTTCCTCCCTGCGATTGGACCGTTTACAAGATGACCATGATCCGACTTCATCCTTTATCAGTTTCAGGTTGGTGTTGGGGTTATACTGCTGCCAGCACTGATTGAACAGGCGGCGGACAGACAACCCAATATCCGGATAGTGCTCCTTGGGACCCATTTCAAGGACTGTTATTTGTTCCATCAAGATAGCCTCCCTTGCCTGACGATCGGCTAGCTCATTCCCAGTGATGCTGCAATGACCAGGGATCCACAGAATGGTAAGTTCACGATTACACAGAGTAAGTAATCGATGACAGGTCTCTAAAATCTTTATAATAGTAGGGTGGGAAGTGACCGGGCCACGAAGAGCAGTCAGCACAGACAAGGAGTCCGTGCAAATGACACATTTCATGACACCATTGTCCTCCACATACATCAGTGCCTGTAATACAGCGAATGCCTCCGCCGTAAATACAGAACAGTTGCTTGGCAGCTTAAACCTTTCGCGTCTGTTCCCAAGTACATATGCACATCCAACACCGTCATGGTTCTTTGATCCGTCAGTAAAGCAGAAAGAGAACGTTGCATATCTCTCTCTGAGGTCGTTAAACAGACATTGCACAATAATATCAGTTAAGTTTTCTTTTCTCTCATCTGTAAGTCGAATAAGGTCACATTTCTGTAAGTGCCAAGGCGGGATGGTACCAGAGATGGATGTTAATTCGTTCGGCATGTCAAAGTCTGTCTCAGCACGTATTGCGGAGAGCCTCTCATACACAGGGAAGCCTGCGATTCGCTTCAAATAATCACTATCTACTGCCGGCAGCGATGCAACACGTGATATCAATTCCAGACAGGGATGGTTGGGGTCACTTTTAAAGGTAGTGTGCCACCTTTGAAAGATTTCCCATTTTATTTTTCCTAGGATAAGAAGCTTCTGTTTTTACCTAATATCGCAAAGAAAATCAAAAATGGGCCTTGAATAGTGCCTTTTTCGCCTAAAAGTTTATCGGTTTTTCGATATGTATAACAACTGTAGTGGGCTGACCTGCAAACAGGCGTCGGCAACAACCGCGAATGCGGCGCACATGTGACAACAAGCAAAGGTCATTATAGAGTTACGACGTACGGGAATGAGTTATCAGCTGTCTAATCGTAGACAACACAATGTCGAGCCTTAAACTGTAAGCCTGTATTGGTATTGTTTCTTTTATTTGGCTGTCGAACATTATTTATGGTTTGAAATATGATTTTATGTAAAATAATTGATATGAAAAAGCCGTCTCTTAAGTTATGACCCCATTTCACCACACGCAAGTGGCAGAAATGACAATGATCAGCTGACGCATTTTTCTTGGCCGAAGTCAGAGCGCGCGGCCCGACGCACCACCACCGCACCACAAAGTATGAGCAGAAGCCGCGCCCAAAGCCAGGGCCCCGGTAACGTGAGGTAGCCGAGTCGGGGCAGCGTGCGCTGACCCAAGCCGGGGCCGCAGCTTTGGGCGCGGTCTACCGCATCCCCGCGGGCAGCCCCGGGCTATCACATGACACCGGGAGGACGCGCGGCCCCGGCTTGGGTCAGCGCACGCTGCCCCGACTCGGCTACCTCACGTTACCGGGGCCCTGGCTTTGGGCGCGGTCTACCGCACCACCTAACAGGCGTGTTCGAAACCGCAGGGGATGATGCTGAACGGGTTTATCGAAACTTGATTGGATGAGCATATCGGTAATAGCGATTTCAGTGTGTGCATTTATTGTTCATAGTGGTGTGAAATGTGGTTGGGGTACGACCGACAACCCGTCGGGGCGAATTTCGCACTGGGGTACTCAAAATTTGAAGAATTTAAGACGTTTCCATGAGTTTTGAAGGTATGGATAAGTTCTAAAAATCCGGTTCTCCTTATCTGGGCCATTAACTCCATACGGTCCAGGAAAGCTGGCACACTACCTTTAACTCTCAAGCAGTACCGTAAGGTTAAATCGCACCTCCTTAATCTCAGAGGAGGCACGTCTGCTTCCACCATCAGGGGTAATATGGGTGAGGTTCTCAGTGCTCCCGTAGCAATCCTCACACACGCATTCTGGATGCTATCAAGGGATTCAACGGCTTTATTTCGTGGACCATCCAATATCTGGCATGCATAATCGAGTATTGGTCGTATCATTGATTTATAAATTCGCAACAGTATCGTCCTATCCGCTCCACAATTCCCTCCTGCCAAACATCTTAAGATTGATAACCGTTTAGTAGCCTTTCCCTTCACATATTGGATATGTTTGGTCAAATTCAGTCTGGTATCGAGCAATACCCCGAGAAACTTGACCTCCTCAGAGTAGCTCAAGTCCTCATTGTAAAGCCTCAAACGGGGTAGAGTAGCTAGTTCGCTGGCTTTCATATACCTCCGAAATATAACGGCATTGCATTTGTGTGGTGAGAATACAAAACCCCATCTATCGGCCCAAGCACTAACATGGTCCAGAGCCAGTTGCATTCGGTCAATTAATTGCGTAATTCTCCTTCCCTGCACCCACATGGTGCAATCGTCTGCGTACATCGCACATGTTGGGTTTCCAGGGACTCCATCAAATATGTCGTTTATCACGATGTTAAACAACACCGGAGATATAACACCACCTTGCACTAGGCCGTTGTCCTGTTCAAAAGTTTCAGATAAACAGTCGTTCCTCACTTGAAAAGTTCGATTATCGAGATAGGATTGTATAAAGTGCATCATGCGCCCTCTGAAGCCAAGTGCATGCATCTTGGTCAGCAGGGCCGCCTTCGAGACGAGATTATAGGCATTCTTAAAATCCAGGAACACAGCTAGGGTATACTTGTTATAAAAGAAGCCCTTCCTGACACTCGACTCAAGTCGTATCAAATGATCCGCTGTGCTCCGTCCCTTACGAAATCCACATTGAATGGCTGATAACAGTCCTTGGTTTTCAATAAACCACGCAAGTCGTCTGGTGACCATTCTTTCCATGACCTTGCTAAAACATGATGTTAATTGTATAGGCCGGTAGGATTCGGGCTGGTGACTTGGCTTCCCTGGTTTAAGGATCGGAACCATAATAGAATGCTTCCAAGTGTCAGGAAGACATTCTGAAAACCATATATAATTGATCAACTTTAGAACTGATGCCAGCTGGTCATCATCTAGAAACTTAAAAAACATGTAGTGGATCTTATCAGGTCCAATAGAAGTATTTCCACAGTGAGAAATAGACCATTTCAATTCATCCAAAGAATACATATCATTGTAGCATTCGTCGTTGTCGCTTGCGAAAGAGGGAAGCTGTTCGAACAAAATACTCTCTCTCTCCCTAAACGCTGCCCTATAATTAATGGACGCCGACATCCCAGAGAAAAAATTCCCGAGCACGTCAGCAACTTCTTTGGGATCGTCTGTCATATTACCATTTATACATAACACGGGTAATGGGCGCTGGTATCGTTCCTTCTTTGTAAAACGCCGTATTATATCCCATAGTTGTCTCATGGGAGTAGTATGTTTGAACATATGCAGCAGTTTCTCCCATGAGTCCCGTTTCGCCTTTCTAATAACTCGCCTTGCTCTCGCTTTAGCCGCTTTATAATCCATGAGATGTGAAGTTTGGTGGCTACGACGGAACCGGTTGAGTGCTCGTCGCCGACTATGAATTGCCTCTTTACATTCCTCGTTCCACCAGGGACATGTATATTTTGAGTTGTTTCGTTTCATTGGTACGCTTTCCTCCGCCGCCCTTAGTAAAGCTTCGGTCATAGCTGTACAATTATCCAATCCCAATCCTTCACAAAATTGTAAGTCACACTTCTCAGTAAATTCAGACCAGTTGGCCTTGTTTGTGTTCCATCCCGT